CTACAGTTGATAGACTGTACTCTGAAGTTTGCTGCTAGAGTTTTGCATTGTTAGTGGTATAACTGCTTACATGCAAACAATTCAAGATCCTCCTCAGAAATAAGCAGTCTGAGTTTTGTTCTGTTTTTCTCAGCTGAACACACATAGGACAGGGCTTTTTTTATTTTCTGGGCATCTATTGTGCTGCAGAATATGCCCTAAACCCCTGAAAATACGTACAATTTATTTCCAGTAAAATTCTAAAGAGTGTTTTCATTGTCAAAATGGTATATTTTTTGACAGTAGCATCTCAAGACATTATAACATTCAGTTTACGCATGTGTTACAGGAACCCATATTGGAGTACATAAAAACTTTGTCTTACGCCTTCATTGCACAAGATTTTTATTTGTAAAGCAACCTTTAATCTTTGCCCAAAAAATGAGAAAGGTGTGATTTATTTTATGGCAGAGTTAGTGTTACCTCTCGTGGTTTTGGCTAAAGTCCAGGCACCAAGAATGGCCCTTCAGCTGATTGTGGTGGCTTGCCAAAGGATGGACGGACTACTCGGGGCAGTGAAATAAAGTAGCCAAGTTTGCCCACGTGAGAGGGAAAAGTGGTGAATGGGGAGTTTGAAGGCAGTGCATGTAAGATAAAATGTGTTATACCCCCTGTGGGCACCCACAGCCACAAGTACAGTGACCTAAACCCAGAGTAGTGAAATCCTCTAAGGATTAAGCTGCAGTGAGCTAAGTACGGTTTACGTCCAGGTTAAGAGTGTCCACTGGAGTTTAATGCACTTTACCTCATGCAGATTAATTTCCTGCCTTTAAATGATTTGGTTGTGCTTTCCCAAGGGTTCCTGTGCAGACAGCTGGACAGAGTTGTCCTCAGAACTGCTGACAGACTGATGTTCCTGTACATCAGTGCCCCAGAAATCCGTACCCCCTTGCTTCGTGCCTGTGCCGCGAGAGCTTGCTCCTTCCTGAGTGATGCTCATCTGCAAAGCAAGAGACTTTTCTCATTTTCTGTCATCTCCTCACAGTTTGAGCTGAAACTGGGCCAAATGATGATCTAATTGCTTCTTTTTTTTTTTTAATTACAGAATCTGTCATTATCCTCTCAGAATCAGTGTTACTTTTCCATTACTTTTACTCTTAACTCTAAGGTAGATAATTCAAAATAGCTGGTTGCTACAAATTTCCCTGACTTTAATTGCAGTTTCTGTTATTGCTAAATTTTGTCTGATTCCTTTCTTGCAAACAGTTTTTTTGAAAGCCATACACCATCCTGTAAGTGCCAGTTGATGAGGAAACACCAGGATATTTCAGCTTCCCATTGTATCTCTGTTACAGAATACAGTATACTGAATTGGAGAACTGTATGAAAAAAATACAGATTTGGGTATCAATGTTTGACACGAAACTTCTTTTTTTAACAAAAAATAAAACTATAAACCTCTAACTATTGTTCAGTCAGCTTGATGCACTCAAAATCAAGTATTTTAATTTCTTTTCAGGATTATTTATGGAAACATTGGTTTCACTAATTGAAATCTAGTCAAGTTTAAATGTGTTTCAGAACAATACTGTTCACATCATTTACTTTTGGCTCTTTTAGAAATCTCGTTTAGGTGTGAATTCCAGGGCTAGCAGATACATATTAAGTAGATATATGGGAGTGGTGATCCTAAACAAAAGGAGCAAGAGATGGAGGGGAGCGACGAGCGGAGACGACCTTCAGAATTTGTGTGTTTAGTGTGTGAAATAAACTTTATGAATTATCCTCCTCCTTTCGGTCGTAGGTCTGTATGCCCTTTTTTTTAGGGGTTTTTTTTTTCAACCTTTTGATTAGCTGACTTCCTGAATTAACTTATACTTTTGGATTCCCACAGCTACTGTTATCTGTTTACAAGAAATAAAATTTCCCTGGTTTCATTCCATGGTCTCCCACTGATGCATTGCAGCCTCTCTTAGAGGAAATGTGTAATGTAATTAAAAGTAATCTTTTCATGCATAAGTTTAAGGTCTAACTTTGAACCCAATTAAATGTGTGGGGCTTCCCCCTTTTTATGTTCCTTTAGCAATATTAAACTTTTGTTACACAGAAAGTGAAGGTATGTTTTTCAAGGCTCATAGATGGCAGGAAATGGCTGTGGCATATCATCAATGATACTGATTTAATTGTTGAATTTTGTAATAATCTAAGTTTAAAAGTGACAGGCAATTTTGTGAGCCATTTTTAATTGAACACTTTGATGCACAAAGCACCTAGAACAATATGAGCATGCTGGGCATGTTGTGGCTTGTAGACTGTACAGTAAATAATAATCAAATAATGCAAAATAAAGAGGAGAAGCCAACCAAGATGTAGTAAACAAATAAAAATTGAGTAATAACTGTAATTTCCAATACCTTATCCATGTATAGTTGCCAAATAAGGAAAAAAATGCATTGGAAAGCAAAGGCTTAGATCTCTGAGGAAGCCCAGGAGAGACATATTACTCCCATTTATAACAGAAAATCAACTGAAAACTTGTAATTGACAGAAAGGAAGTGAGTTTATGTCCCTTGAGGTGCCCTAGGATCAGCAACAGGCAAATGGTATAAACAAAATAAATCACAGAACAAGTTGTTGAATATGAATTTTTTTGGAAAATAAGAATACAATTTTGTAATGTGCAATAAATATAAAATGAAGCATTGGCTGTGGGGTGCTGGTAAAGAAACACCCTGCTCCTTTTTTAAGAGAGTCGATGAAAATGTATGTTGAATGGGAAATTGGGTTTCCAGGAGTGCTTATTCATAGGCTATTGAAGGATCCAATTAAACTGGAATACGCTTTGCGTGGCTTTCATAATCATAATGACTGATTTCAATGAGTTTACTCTTGACTTAACCCAATATAATAGGAACTAAATCAAGCTGCTTATTTTCCTGCTGTGTATCCAGTTCTGTCCATCCCCTTTGAATGTTTTGAATAATATCTTTTTTCTTTTTATTTTCCTTTTTTTTTTTAGGAATCAAATAATATTTTGAGCTAAGGAAAACAAGTAGCTCCATAAATACCAGTAAAGTCTGGCTTCCCACACTTTTGTGTCTTGTGGATGTCTGAGTTTGATGTAGAGCTGAAAATGCAAATTATTTTTTTTCTTACAGTTCCTGAACTGATACCTAATTTTGTTTATAGCCTTTTGCTCAGCCTTATGGTCACTGTCTTTATCCAGCTGCTCTGAGAAATGACGTTATGCTTTATTTTCTAGTCTTTCCTGTAGCAAGACCATATAATTTGTTCTCTCAAAGAGGTTGTAGTCCCCTTCAAAGTCTCCAGGCATAGTCTTTCTTTTTTTTCCTTTTATTTTTTTCCCTTTTAATTTTTTTTTTATTATTATTATTTGAAGTGGCTGATAGATACTGAATAGTGCCAGGCCACAGCCAGAACTGTGCACAGTATGGCTTTTGTATGAGACTCTTGTGGCACAACTCAAGTCTTGCTGAAGTCAGGGTAGATGACAGGGTTTTACTTCCCACTGCACTAACTACCCTGTTTTGTCTTGGCAAATCCTCGTTGGCCTTCCTTGTGGTAAATTAATTACACCTCTCGTGTTTTGTATGAAGGAACACCCAGAGAAAGCCATTGTTTCAGCTGAGGAGACACGCTGCTAGCCCAGAAGGGTAGATGGCTGTTTTCAACAATAAATATTTCCAAACATGACAAAAATTTAACTCTTGAGAAAAGTCCTGAGACTGTTAATTGTTCATAACACACCACTCCTACAAAATCATGTTAATGGAAGGAGTTTAAATATTGATAGAAGAAAATTAAATGCAATTACGATAAGCCATTTTATTTGATGCCCTTTTTGCATTAGCCAGTCCATAAATATTTTAATAATTTCATTTATTGAATGTTTTTTCATCCACACAATCTTACCTTGGGTTAAATTGTCCTGTTGGCTTAGTGCTTTCCTGGGCCACATATTCATCGTCAACGAGAGTTATGAAAATGCCTACTCTCCATTTCATGACTGCATCCAAATTTATGCACTTTGAAATTAAACCTGTGCAAAAGGGGTGATCTTCATGTTGTAGGGGCAGTGCAAATGCTACAAGATATTTTAACGTGAAGGCAGGTCAATCAAGCTATAATCGTCTCTAATTAACACTTGGAGAAGCTGTAATCTTTTTATAAACTTTCAGCTGAGCCGCACTTGGGTGAAAAATTATTTCTTGCCTGGAAAGCTATTAAAAATTAATTTCCTTTGATTCTGTAGGATACGAATGAGACAACCACATGGCCTTGCGCAGGAAGGGGCTTTTGCCAATTAAAATTCGGCTCACAGAGCTTGAAGTGGTGTTCAGGAAAAAAAAAAAATCAAAGCAGTTTTTGCCAAATCTCTTAGTTTGTCTTTTGAAGTGTGGTTTTCCTTTCAAGTGACCGTAATGAATGGTAGTGAAGGCTACTTTGCCAATTCAGAGATTTTTTTTTTAAAGGAATTTTTATGGGCTTTTGTATGTAAAAAATAGTTTTACTGAGTGGGGAGCCCTATTGGGAATTTAAGCTTCTTTTGAAATTCCTTTCACTTGCATACACCTGTGTTGTTTCTGTGTGCTAAGTTTCTGAGTTCTTAAGTAGCTACTAGATGCATAATGTTTCCATTTTAGCAAAGTTCGGTTTTATTTTTGCTGTCTGTTCCCCTTTCTCTGCATATTAAGCCTTAAAAAAAAGAGTAGATCAAAAAAAATCATCCTTGCGTAGAGCACTTTGAATTCCTTTCACCTTTTCCTTCTGCTGGAGGAGATATGGCTTTGGTGAAAAGATGCTTAGGTTTGGGGTTTTTTTTGTTTTGCTTATTTCTGGTACCTTCAAATTAATTTCTCTCTTTCACTAGCTGTCTGGTATTGTTTGTTACATAATACAGTATTATATGTAAAAATAATAAAATAAACTGATCTTTGAAGAAGAAAAAAAGAGTGAAAAACCCTACCAAACATCTTTACTTCTCTTTTATTACCAATTAGAATTGTCATTTGCTTGGATCTTCAATGAATATCCATCATTTGTACAAGAGGACAGTCGTCGATTTGTGTCTCAAGAGACTGGTCACCTCTACATAGCCAAAGTGGAGCCGTCAGATGTAGGGAATTACACCTGTGTTGTAACCAGCACTGTGACCAACAGCCAAGTTCTTGGGTCACCAACTCCTCTCGTCCTGCGCACGGATGGTATGACTTCCCTTCTGCACTGTCAGTAAATAGCACATCTAGTCATCAGTGAACGTTTTTGCCTCTTACAGTGTAACCTTTCGTGCATTTGTAGGATATTGGTTGCTCTAGAAAAAGATCAACAGTTTTGAGTTGCTCCTCTTCCTCTCCTTTCTCCAGTGAAATCACTGTCAGGTCCCTATGCTTCTCTTTCTAAACGGAATGCGAGAGAGAAAAACTTGGTTTTGAATTTAATGTGATGTAATGCTAAAGAGAGAAAAAAGGCTTTAAAAATTAAAAATTACCTTTTTCAATTGTCTCATATAGGTGTGATGGGAGAATATGAACCCAAAATAGAAGTTCAGTTTCCTGAGACACTTCCTGCAGCTAAAGGCTCCACCGTGAAGCTCGAATGCTTTGCACTAGGAAAGTAAGTTTTTGAGTTCACCCATACTGAAAGGTGAAGCACGTAAGGGTTCATCATTCTGGCAGTTGTTTTCGTGGTGTTTCCTAAAGACCCTATTTTTATCATCACAATTATTGCCGTAGAATAAGAGGGCAAAGTTTTGGAGTAGTTTTTAATTTTGTTTAGAATTAAAATGTATATGTTGTCAACACAGGAATATACATTTTATTTCAAATTATCTTGAATATGCAAAACTGCACTGATCTTATATCCTTTGACCTAGCTCTGCTTACTCTTTGTAGAAGAAACTGTTGTTGAAGTCAGCAAGAATTTTGCCTGAATTTTATTCTTATACGTACTTGATGCTTTCATAATATTATTCTTTCTTTATAGCTAAAATAAAGATTAAAATGCATTCCTTTTCTGAACGATATTTCACACACAATTGATATCTTTTCTCCTTCACAAATGATCTGAGAAAGCATTTATGTTTCTGTAAATGTATTTACTTACCACTTTGCGGTTTATTTGCAGACAGCTTTGTCAGGTGCTGGTAATTTTGAGTGTGAGATTGATAACTTCATCGCGTGCTATTGCTTTGGTTCCCCGGCTAGGTGAGGGGAAGCGTTGAAATTGGAGAACGAATGGCTCTTCTGGGATGGGAATTCCAAAAGGCTTGCCTCGATTCTCCTTTCATGGAAGTCACTGGTAAATCTCACCCATCTTCAGGGGAGGCCAGTGTTGATTTACAAGAAATTTTACAATCATTGAGCATTCACGCAGATATTCGTGAAAAATTTGGTACCACAAATAATAGCGTATGAAACAGAACGGCACATGCAAATCAGTTGCCATAGTGTCTGACCATCTGTCATATAGAGAATGAATACTGCTTTTGACACAAGCCTTTAGTCACTTCTGAGTTTTATTGTGTACCAGTTTCAGTATCTAATTTTGACAATGAAGTACTTGAAGCAAAGCTGTTTAAAATCCCATTATTTTCTTTTTAGCCCTGTGCCTCAGATTAACTGGAGAAGAACTGATGGGCTGCCATTTCCAAGTAAAATAAAGCTGAGGAAATCCAATGGCATGATTGAAATACCTAATTTCCAGCAAGAGGATGCAGGGCTGTACGAATGTATTACTGAAAACTCAAGAGGAAAAAACATTGCAAGAGGACGTCTCACTTACTATGGTAGGAAACTTCCTTTCTCCTTCTCTCCCACCCTTCTTTACACATGAGATATGCACTCTAGGGTGCTTTGGGGTTCAGCTTCTGCAATACCATCAAGCATTCGTGCTTGAAAACCTTGTGCCATCTTAACTACTTGCAGAGAAGGAGAGCTTCTGCACTAGGTTTTTGCATAATGCTTGTAATAAATGTCCAGGCTCAAAAGGGTTGCTAAGAGTAGTGTAGGAAGTTTTTGTGCTTATTTTTCTATGAGGGAAAGACTTTTTAATTTTTTTTTTTAACAATTCTTATTGGTCCATTGGTGAAACCTTAGATTTTCAGTCAATTGGATTTATTTGGGGGATCATTTAGGCCTCGCATTCACAGGAAATGCAAATTTCATCTTGCTTTAGGAAGAGCTTACTGATGGATATTGTCAATCCTTTGCTTTCAAAATGGCCAATTTTATTTTAAAATGAGTAAATAAATGAGAGAATATAATCCAACATAGGAAATGAAATAACATGAAATTTAATAGCTGGAAACAGAGTCTCTTGTGCATTTAAGGCTTTAGAGTGAAATGAATATCAGCAAAGGTCGTTGGTGGTGTTTTAAAGCTAGAGTGATTCGCAACAAAGTGGTAATTGACAATTTTTGTTAAAGCCAGATCTCAGCAAATATAATTTTCTTTAGGTAAATGGCAATTTAAAGAGTGTTTCAGACTGTGCTTTGGAACGCTATTCCTCATACAGGAATATTTGAGCAAAGATTATTTTTTTTTAAGTTGTATAAAAAAGCTCAGAGCATAGCTACTGTGCAGCTTCGAGCAAATGCTTTTTCCATTTACTACTTCTGTCTGGGAGGCTGCTGTTCACTACAAGACACAGATTGCTGCGATGTAGATTTTTGTCTATGAAGATTTTAATTTAAGGCACAACAGATTTGATAAAGAGGAAGGAAAAGAGACTTCTCCCCTCTTAGCTTCCAAATTAATAGTTACATTGAATCAGTGCCCCATCATCATTGTTCAAGTGTAGGTTGGACGGGGGACTTTGAACAACCTGAATTTTCCATACACTAGTTGTGATTATGACTTTTTGAGAAATCCTATTAATAACATAGGGCTGAAGATCTGAGATCCTTCATCTGCCAGTGTCATCTATCATTCCAAATTTGGCACTGCGCATTTGATTTTATAAATTGACTTTTATTAGCTGCTTGAAAAGTTTCAAGCAAGTTGTGGTTTGTGCATCAGTTGGGCTCAGTATTCCTGTCCCAGTTTTAAATCAGGGCAATTGTAAGACACATCAGCGTAACCTGCGTACAAAACAGAGTAGATTTGTTCATTAGTCCTTGTAATGTAATTACGACGTTGGGCAACCTTGAGGTATTTGACCTGCTTTCCAAGTTTTGTTTTGCTCGTTAAAGGACACAGAGCTGAAATAATAAATGTTGCTAATCAATAAAAGCAAACGAGTTGCAGTTTTGTGACAAGTAAATCAGTGTGAACATTTTCATTACAAATCCAGAAAGGGATTTGAACCCTCAAATGGAGTTCATATTCTGATATAAATGTCTGCCCATATTAGATTCATCCCTAATACGGATGTTTATCCTAAAAAGAATAATGAGACCTGTAATGGCATTAATGGCACTCCAACTGTTTCATTTCATTTGTTCTGCTTAATGAAACCCATTCTGCAGAATTGAGTAGACTTAAGTAATCTTTCTTATTTTGTTACTTGCTTTGTTGTTGCAAATGGAATGCCAACAAGCCGGTGTTGAGGATAGGATCATTTTAACAGTTCTTTGATAATTTGAGGGATATGAATTCTGTTTGTAGTTTAATAATGTTCTATAACTGAAGATATCATCTTCTGATGGCTTGTCTCGGCATCTGGTATCAAAACTCAGAAATCTGTCTGGTAAAGAAATCTAACCATATGCCACTCAGTCTTCCTATGAAAGATCAATATTTAAGGAATTTGTTCAAAAAGCAGATGAGGATTTGAGGGAAACTAATGAAGCATAATGAAGACTTAGAATAAAAACCATCCATCTGCCAGAAGGTACCAACTCTGGCAAACATGTCTCAAATCTACGTGGTGGTGTTAGTGGATGTTGGCTGCTGATAAAACAGTTTATTGGTAGAAGTGTAAGACGTGTCTGCTAATCATATACAGAAAAATACGCACGTTACAAATGGACAAATCCCTTTTTATTTCAACAATGAAAACATCTATTTTTCTGTCCTCAAAAGTACAAAGCACATTTCTGGCTTACCCAGGAAAGAGTATGAGAAGACTTTGCCATTGGAACATTTTCCAAGTTGTCTTAGTGAACTAATGTGGGAAAAAAAAAAAATCTCTTCGGGGGAAAAAAAATGACAAAAATTTTCCATTTGACTGAAAAATAGAAGATTTTCCTTTCTCATCAGATTTTAAAGATTCTTTGTAAATTAAATGTAAAGCTAGTCCTAAACTAAAGCTTGAAACATTTCATTGCTGTGCTATGAAGCAAAACACTCTTATTCTCCTGATTTGTCTTATGAGCTGAAACTGTCGAATTTGAATTCTGAAAATTGGGTTTTTCAGTGCATAAATGATTTGATTAAAAAAAAAACAGTCATGTTTTCTGTGCTATCCTTTCTCTTATTCCAATGCTGAATTATAGTCTTGAAACCGCAAAGCACTTGAACATAGGCTCAACTTTAATCATATCCATAGTCATTTTCTCAAGAATGCTTATAAATTTGGTTTAGAAATTCTGTGCACATCTGTAACTCTCTTTATGAGAAATAAAATGAGTCTTTTTTTTTCTAATTTCATTGTGGATTTTAAATATAAGTCTCAACCCATAGTTGAAGTCAATAATTAAAATAGATACTCTAAACCAGATATTTTTGGTTCTTTCATAACGTTACTAACAGACTATTAATCTTCCTTTTTTCCTTAGGAAGGATTTTATCAAGAAAAGCCCGTCATCAAATATTCAGTTTTTTGTCCTTTGTACAGTTCCAACGTTTGTTTAATGCCATTTTTCTCCTCAGGGAAGTTCAGAATGTGCTAAAAATAGGACAAGATTATCTGACTTTGATTTAATATAAAACCTGAATATATAAATAATTTGCTTTCACTTTTTTAGTATATTCATTTATTATCACTATTAATTCTTTCCATAAAGAGATAATAGAAGAAGAAAGAATCCATGCAGACGTTTCATGGCATGGAAAAATGAGAAGAGATGAAACAATTACATTTTTGTATTTTAAGATGCAATTAAACATGTAACATAGTAGAGATACGTTAAGCAATTAATTTAAAGCATAATTGAAGAAAATATATTCTTAGTTAGCACATGCTGATATAATGGAACTCAAGCTTGACAGTACCAAATTTGAAATGTTTAATAGGGAGAAAAAGTTCTGCTGTTGCTCTTCTCCGTTTGTTCTGCAGAGGTGGTCTGTGAAAGCAAAGACAGACACCTCCCCCAGTAATACGTAGACTTTTATCTAAATTTTTAGTACATAAAAAAATTCTTATGTATGTTGTAAATTATTTTGGTAATAATGTACCGCCAAAATTATAGTGAAACGACATTATTCGTGTATGTGGAAGAGCCTCACTGTTTAAAGCTTTTGTCTGATAGCCTGACTCTATCTTGTTCACGGAGGTGTCTTCAAAACATTAACTACACCACTATAAATGACTCAGTAATATCGAGGAGTTGCTTGATCAACCTAGAGTTTGTCAGTGCTGTCTAACAATATTATTGCCTTGCTAAAGAGAAGAATTATTCATATTTTTTACATCCTAAAACTTTCCCCAATGCTGTAGCAATTACCTGTTGCTTGAGAGCGTTTTTATTTTTGGATGGAAGTCGGATAGTGGACATCTTCAGGGCTGTGTTAGATGCTTTTCTAGGCCCAGTTGTTTTATCAGAAAAAAGTGACTCATGCTTAAAGACACTTGGAGTTTTGAGATAAAACGAGGTTCATCACTGCCGTAAGCATCAGCATGAGTGTCATAGCCTGACTTTCAGCTCTGTTACCTAGAAAAATGAAGGTTGCATTTTCTGGTTAGTTTTTTCCCTGTATGCTTCATAGCTGCTTTCTCTTGAACTATGGAAAGTTCCTTTTGACTCTGAATCAATCACCCAACTACTGAGCTATCCAAAGGTATTTTCAAGGGACATTTCCATCCCAGCTTTCATACTGTTAATTTCAAAGTAAAGGTGAGAGTATAAGCAGGCTGCATCTTATGTGCGAGCCCCAATTACGGACAGCTTTGGAGCTTCACGTAGTCTTCTGCCTCCAAGCAGAGGCATGGCAGAGCTCAGTACTCTCTGGGAGAGAGCAGTGCCTAGACAAAAGGCATGGGCCTGAAGATCTGCCTTTCCTTCATGCTATTCCTGTGGCTTACAGAATTAGAAGGAGATGTTTATTGGAGTCTCCTACTCTGAAGGAAATCACATAATCATATATAAAAATACATATTGACATGCATCATGTGTGTTATGCCACAAATTATTTACAATTTAGATCTCAGCACAGGCTCTGAAAAGTGTCAACTTCTTCAGCCATTGCTTCCAAGAGCTTCGTTGCAGTCACTCATTGCATTTGGTCTTCAAATGCAAACCCCCAGAGCAGTCATCGCGAAGGATTTCTTAAAAGTCTCGAAAAATGGTTCTTCCTTTCCTTATGGCCTAGAGGGATGCCCTAGAATGTAACGAAGCAAGAGTTTTCTTCAGGAAGACCTGCCTGGCCTAATTAGCTGGAAGAAAAGGGTGAATGTAGCCACCAAAAAAAAGATGACTGAGTCTTCTCACTGGGATAAATTTTATGAAGTTACACACTTGTATCACTTCTTGCCTGTGGGACCACAAGTATTGCAAGGAATATTTTGGGCAAAAGCAACTGAAGCAAACAAAATACAGGCTGGTGCTTTTCCAGGTGACTGACCATGAGGCTGACGGCTAACCTTCTTTGAAAAAATCAGTTGCCTACAAGTATTTTGTCCTAAGGGAACTTTATATGAATCTTTCATGAAGATTGCACAGCAAGTTGCTAAGAATTTTTAATATTCTCACACAGTATGGATTTCTGTCACAATCTCAAACCCTGCATTACAAACTCCATTAAAACTCATTTCCAACCTGTCAATTTAAGGACATAAGTCTTTTTTTCATCTCAACGAAAATACATTGCCTGCTTGTGTATTCCTTGCTTAAGGAGGAAGGAGTGGTGTCTCCTCAGGAAGATCTAAGTTACACATCAAGCCAATGCAGTAGCTCCATGAGAGAATGGGGCTTTGTTACCAAGTCATTCGTCTTCCTTCAGGAGCACAGATGTGGCAGTGGTGGTGGAACCAAATGTTCTAAGCAGGTAACATTTGCCCAGCAGTGACTATAGACCTCAAGAGGAATAAAGCTCTGTATTCAAAATCGTTTAGGTACAGTTAGGCAGAGCTCAATAAAAAGGGCAGGGCTGGGCTTGGAAAGTCATGTTCTGTTTTGAGAGGGTGTGTAGATCTACGATGTGTGACCTTCTGTCTGTGCTTTTCTCAGCTGCTGCAAGGTGGACCATCTTCACCTTGGCCGAGATTCAGGGTATTCAGTGGAATATTCCCAGCTGGAATTGCCCCTGTTTAGCTGCCTTTTCAATGTTGAACTGGTTAGTTGAATTGTTCTTTTTCAGAGTGTTTTTAATACTTATTCAGCCTTTTTTAAAGACTTTGAGATGCGGCAGATTGAAAAGGATATATTTCTTTCTGCTGAATTTCTCCATCAGTAATTTGAAGAGAAAAAGAAGCTTCTTCAAGGATATCACTAAAGTCTATGTCAGCGCTCTCTTGTGAATGAACAAGCACCATAAATCTCTCACATTGTGGCTTAGGAAGCTCTCTATTCTATTCATTTCTGTTTTGAGTGGTTGTCTTGCTCCCACGTTTTCCAAAAAGACCCAGATTATCATATCTGCTGTGGAGACTTGGGAAGCTCTCCTATGGAGACTGTTTGACATGAAGAGTCCTAAAATGATGATTTATAGCGTAGACAATGTTTTTCCTATTAATGGAATTGAATCCAAGATCTTGAACTTGAAAATAGACTCTATTTAACCTACTCTCAAGTGGAGATAGGCAGCAGATGTGAAATATTGCACATTTATGGATCCATCAATAATTCACGCCCTGTTGCTCGTTGCATAAATATTTAGGTGTGCAAAGTGCAGGAAGCATGTTGATGTGGAGTCCTGAGCTTTCATCCCTTTGACACATGTGGGGCAAATATGCCAAATGACAACGTGAGGTGAAACAGTGGCTCTTAAGCGCCAGTGTCACAACATCAGCTTTTCGAGATTGAACCAGAATTAGCATCAGTAAGATAGTGCATTTGTCTGACACAAAGATCAGGTTATCCCGTCTTTCAGAGCTGATCCTGATAAAGAGACTGTAAAAAACAATTATCATCCCCAAATCAGTGAAAGGCATTAATCGCCATGGGGCATGAGAGATGTGCAAAACAAAAGAAATAACAGAAGGTTTTGCTGTCAGAAAATATTGGTTGAATTCCAATACCTCCTACATTAATATCTCAATGAATACCTTGCAGAAAGTTCTTCTGTGAGGAGTTAATCCTGAGTATTTCTACATAAAACATATATAGTACTAATCCTCATTATCATAAAAGTGTGTTACTGTATGTGATCATGTTGTGATCTTAATTGCTGTATTGTAGAACATAAGATGGAGAGAGAATTTGTGTGCTAGAAAAGAATGAATCTTTTTAAAGGAAATGAGTACCAGCCCTCATCCAAACGTTGGTCTGCTGGTCTTGTGCCTGTGGCAATGGAACAGGTTCAGCTCTCAGCTGTGCCGCAGACTTCCCTTGTGGCCATAGGCGAGTCATTAATTTCCCTGGTCTGAATTAATTGCTGTTGTAACTCCATTGTAGTAGGAAGTTCAACGGGAATTAATCTGACCTTCTGAGCTGCCAGAACTCATCTGCAAAATAATGATATTTTCCTGTATCATCAGGGACTTCTTTTTTTTAACTAGTTGTTCTGATATGAGAATGATAGGAGAGTTTCCTAAATTAACAATGTAGGAAAATCGTTAAGGTAATCAAATCGACTCCAGAAAATTCCTTTGCCCTTAGCTGTATATTTGCAACCACATTTCATCCTGCCTGTTTTCTCCAAATGGAGTGTCCAGAATTTATCTTTTCTTGGAGAAATAGCATATATTGAGATTATAAACTTCCTAGTACATTGAATAAATTCTAAGAAAAGTCACTTGAATTAGCAGCAAAAGTGTTGTGCTGCTGTGTGAAATAGCACTAAAGAATAAACTACTGTTGTCTTTCATGCAGTGATGTTTATTTGCCAAGGGAGCTTTTTTTTTTACTCTATGAAAGCTGTAACAGATGTTTTAAACTGTATCTGTACAGTTTTAATTGTCTTTTAGATAATTCTGAAGGATGTATGGTATTACATCACAAATTTGTACAAAAATGAGTGATTTTGTGGACTTCCTTAAGGCCATATTCTGGTTTGCATCACCACATGCTGTGCTAATAACTAATGCTTTCAAAAACAGGCTCGTATATCCATGTATTCATCCAGTTAAGTACTGACTAGCATTAGGAAACAATTTAAATGGTATTTAGAACAAAAGCTGACATACCATTACATCTTTTTTAGGACTTAAAGGATTCTCTTCAGTATTAATTTGATGATTTAGCTACATTAATTATTTAATTCCAGTATCACCACTGATTTCTTTATCTTGCGTTTCCCTCAATTTCAAAGTTGTGTTGTTTAATCATTAGTGAGTTTCGTACTGGTTTCACTAGTTTGGCTTTAGTGATCTGTACTCTCAATTTTCTTTTGGTTTACTGCTTGTAATAAAAATGTATAAAAGGAAGAGTGAGTAATTTCTTTCATTAGGCGACTTGAAGCAGAACCATTGAGAATCTCTGGTGGTACAAACCAGTCCACGCAGAAGACCGATGAGTGCCGTGCAAATTAACGCTTTGATTCTGATATGGGACAGTAACTTGTTAGGGTCTTCGTTGTTGATGTGTATTTCATCTGCAGCAAAACCTCACTGGATCCAGACGATAAAAGATACTGAAGTTGCTGTGGAGGACACCTTATACTGGGATTGCAGAGCAAGTGGGAAGCCCAAGCCGTCGTACAGGTGGCTGAAGAACGGAGACCAACTGTCAATAGAGGTAACATTCTGTTTTGAAAACACGATGCTATGTAAAATTAACAATGCTTCATACAATCCATGTAATATTAGTTGAGAGAAATATTTGATACTTGTTTTCGTATGTTTGTCAAGAGCATCCAGATGGAAACTTCAAAAGCTGCAATACCAGAAATATGCAGACAAATTATGTTGTCCAAAAATATCCCAGCTAAAAGGAGATTTAAAAGCAATGATAAAACCATGGAAATCAGCATGTAAGGAAAGGCTGGAGAAGGAAGTTTAATTAAGGTTATGCATTAAGAACCATAAATGAGAGATAGAGGACTTAAATGGTTTTGTTATACTTGCCATAGGCATTTCCTTAGAGGTAATAAGAAAGCATATTCAAGCTTCTTGATGAAAAAAGACAAAAGTCCTAAAAGTTCACCATTACTTAACACAAAGAGTGAAATATAAACAGTAATGTAACATAGGCTTGCTTTGATACAATTGTTAAAGTAAATTAATGGAAAGTAATGCATTTGGTGACAGGGAAAAGACTTTGTACTTGGAAGATGAAATACGTGTTCTCCCGGATCAGAAACACGGAAAAGCATCCGATACCCATATTGATTTTAATTCTCACTGCTTCATTGGGAAAACTGCCCAGTTCAGGCAATCAGGAATATAAACTATGGGCACAGTCCCATTGTGGGAAGGTATTTTGCCCTTGGCCAATGCGTTGTGCTCAACGTTGGCACTCACAGACAGAGAAGAAAGAGCAGCTGCCCAAGTGAATTCAGTGGATGGCTATGACAAATGATCTAAGCACTGAAAAACAATTCTTACCATTCAGAGTGCTATAGTTATGCTCACTAAAAGGAATGGCAGTGTTTTGTGGACAGGTTAAGTGAGGGAGTACAAAATCTCATCTCGGTGATTTAAGAGCATTGTTACCATATCACACGTCACTCAAGTAATGCATTTTTTTTTACCTCAGTAAGTACAAAAATACCTTCTCTCATTCAGTCTTCCCATTTCTCCACTTTTGAGCATTGATGTCCCAACTTTTGCCATGGTGTAAGGGCAGCAGTGTGACACTCTGGAAATATTTAAGGGTTGTAAACTGTAGGGCTAACTCTTTGAAAGCCGGCACTGAGTAGGCATCAGAAGGGGCGTTCTGTGTGTATTGTCATCAGTGGTCTTTAGGTCCTTTACTGCAATAATCCTCCTTCGTCGTGAGTCTCCTCCACAAAAATCTCTTGCTGGAGTTGTTCTGCTTAGCTCCCCTTCTCCATAAACAAATCTTTTGTAAGGAGGAGTGAGAAGAGCAGCTTGGGATGCTAGAGAGAGGCTCAAGACATGGAGACTCAGGCTTGTTCCTCTTTGGGATAGCTTTTGTCCTTTGTCTAACTGACTGAGCACTTTGCAATAAGCTGGGATGGGACCTGTCAAGGAAGGAGCTGAGCTGATCTGTCCTGGCTGGCCCATAGACAGCTGGAGTCACTCCGCAGTGGGGCCAACTGTAAGTGCATGCTCTTAAGAAAAGGCAAAGAGTAAGTACCATTGCCTTCAGCCTAGTGAGCCACATCCAGATAAAAAAAAAAAAACAGAAAAGGTTTTTGAGCATATAGTTTGTTCTTTGGTTTGTTATTATTTCTCTGGTTTTCCCCAAAGGAGAAGCTCCTTTGGTTTTGTCTCTGTCACTGGTTCCTTTTCTCACCAGTTCATACCACTCCATCCTTCGAATTAGTCTCTTCTTACCATAATTCATATAGCTTTCCAAGAATAAGCAAGGTGAGAAGATCCCTATGCTTCAGTATCTTTGTGGGCTCTAAGGCACTTAAATATGTGTCTTCCATTTAATGACTGCTGGAATTTTTTCTGCATAGTATTACAGAGAGCTCATTAGCAAATGGCATGTGTGAAATCTCTAAATAGTGCGAAATGCCAGTGCCATCTGTATAGTTTGGATACTGTGGTCTGTCATGAGGAGCCTAGTGTGATTTTGTCCATATTTCTGCAGAAATACAAAGGCATTTGAGATTGCAAAGCCTCTGTGAAACTGAGCAAGTTTGAAGAATCGATTTCATACGTTGTGTTGCCAAGTCTCCGTATTCGATCGCTGTTGCCATACCATGATGCGGTCATGTCACTTATTTTGGAACAGTTCTCATGATTATGCTGTTACATTCACCCCATTTATTGTGTTTATGCTGTCCTATTTATATTTCTTAATTATTTTAAATTTTTCACAGGAAATATATCATCAATAAAGATATTTTTCTTAATATTCAGGGAAGGATCCAAATTGAAAACGGTGCACTTACAATATCAAATCTAAATCTGACAGATTCTGGCAGATACCAGTGCATAGCTGAAAATAAACATGGTGTCATCTATTCAAGTGCAGAGCTCAGGGTTGTAGGTAAGATTTTCCTTTTTCACTAAAACACAAACCTCGTTCTCCCTCTCCACACACCCTCCACCTGCCTCATTCCATCTCTTCATGATCTCAGATTTAACTCACTCAGATGCTATCACTGAAATAAAACATTTTTGTCCACTTAATATCCTTTTCTCTGCAGTAGCCAGGGGTTAACTCATCTGCTTCCAGAGGATTTGCAGTCCAGTCATTCATTGCTTTAAAA